GAATGCACGATTATAAATATGTATAAATATATATTGCTTCACATTTCAATGATGAAGATGATCAGTGGCGTTTCCCTTTAGTTCCTCCCTAATGCTTCTCTATTGATGATCATTCTGAAATATTGTTGTATTCTGACCAATTATTATTATTATTAAATAAACTTCTAAAAATATTCCAAGCATCATTTAAATCATAGATATTGAATTATATCATAGTAGATTTTTTAACCAGGGCCTCGTTTTGTTTTGCTGGGCCTTTCACATCACAGAATAGTGTGACTGTGTGTTCTTGGCATTGTATATTAATAAGGACTATTAATCCAGGCTTATTATATCTGGATTGAGTACAACAATAATTAAAATGAGCTTTCATTTTGGTTCAGAACTACAGCAACATATTGTGTGCCAGATTTTGTGTGCAACACTCATTTATAGAGCAGATTACAGCTGGAGGATTTAATTAGTGACAAAAATTACTGGGCTTGAAAGACAATGTAATAAAAAACATTTGGCAAGTCACTAAGAACATTTCACTAGTTTGCATCCTTGAAAGTGGCAAAAATAAACAATTATGATAAGGGCAAACACATCTGGCTTTCCAGAGGAACTGTAAATTAGTGAAAGACTGCTGCTTACATGCGCATATGATGTGTTTGATGGGGTTCAAACCATTCAGAATTTCACAGATTTCCTGTCAAATCGCTGTTGGTACAACATTAACGAGACTCATAATGAATATCTTGTATGTTAACTGGATATCCAACTGGATTAACAAGTTGAATGGTGATTCTACCAGGGTCTCTCGTTTAAATGAATTAAAATGTAAATTACATATTTTTGACCTTGAACATCCTTCATAAATGTATCACATGACAGCAAAAATACTGGAGAAACTTACAACATCTGCCAAGAAAACTGACTCGAAGAGCAAGAAGTTTGTAGCAGGAAGGAAATAAATTGAAGATTCACATCTACTACTAACTTAGTACAGTTATCAGTTGACTTAGTAATGTGTCCAAATGATGAACAGCATGCCCTTTTATTCATTGCTGTATTGGTCTAGATTGGTCTGCAAACAGTTTATTTCTACCATATTAGTTAATAATACCACCCTAACAATAACATCGTATTCTCTACAATAATTTGGTTTTAATTTAACACATTTGTTATGGATAATTAGAATTGTAGCTAAATGTGCCTGTGCGATCGAGAGAAATGGGAGCTGTGTTTTGTGTCAGTGACTGACAGCAGTAATTGCCTTCTCTATGGGCAGGCTTCATAAATCTGCATTATGCAAATTTCTTTTGTCGTAGCTTGACAGGTGTCACCTCTTCCTAAAGCTGCATTACAACAACTTACTTGCTGTGTGAGGAGAAGATGTAAAGAGCTTTTAATACATCATCTGAATTCTGCCAGATCATGCGCACCTTAAAATATCGCTTGTGGCCAATAACAGTGATCCTCTTGACAGGAGACATTAGCTAAAACATCAGGCCATATCAAGATGAATACATTAAGAGAACATGCAAGAGATGCTGACTTCGCTGCCTGGCTCTGAGGATGAGTCAAAAGAGGATAAACCTCTAAAGACAAGGCATGATGCATTTAGCTAAAATATTCAATGAGGATGGATGTGGTGCGGTGCATTAAACTGGAGACATCTGTGCCAATTAAGCAATCTAATGTAAAAGTGCAGGACAGAAGCTAACAGAGAATGTGTGATCATCCATTGATTCTGCTATTTGTTTTAGAATAGATTGGATTAGTAATTTGGAGGAATCTAATGATTTAGTGTGTGTCTGTGTGGATTGTTTTAGCGTGAAGATTGCTGGAGAATGCTTCTGTGCACAATGGAAAGCTGTCAATTTCACGTTATCTCAGAGAGGCAAGAGGATATGGTCAAAGAGACGCTTCTTTTCTCAGCTACACAATGAACCACCTGTTGTCCACGAAAACCTTAAAACTGAATATATGACGTCAGCTACTAACTAAAGAACATTCACTCTTTAAAACTGCTCTCAGTGAGATTTCAAATCTGATTAAGGGAAGCAGATACGACATTAAAGCAGCTGTAAGCAATTTCATCATCACTAGTGGCACGGAATTGCAAAAATGAAGATTGTTTTACAACAGTTTTAAACTGGAAGACAAACCTAATTACAAATGATGGAACCCGTTTTTTGTTTTTTGGCTTATATACTGGATGTTGAATTAATGCAGAAAATTTTAACTTGTCTCATCCAGATGAATAATTAATGCCAAGTGTAAAGTCTAGAAATTGTCAGTTATTGTTAATAATGAGCTAATTTTCGTAGTTTTGACTTGTGCTTGACTGATTAGCCACTGAATTACTCTTGTACAGGCATGTAATGGATATTTTATGTTGAGCAAAGGCATCATTGTGAGCATGACAGGTGATTTGTATGGCAAAGTCGTAATTTGCAGGCTGGTTCTTGTGTAAATTACTGTAAAAAATAATTATTCTTTGTCATAATGTGAGATATTTTGTTAACTATGGCAGCCTCCTTTCAGTTTGGCAGGTTGTCATCTGCCAGACCACCATAAAAAGGACAGCTTTCTGAGAAACGGAAAGGATTAGAGACATTATTACCTTGGCAATGCTGCTGAAAGGTGATCTTTGATGTCCAACATCAAGAGCAGTGACAACGTTAAAATCTCACCGTATAGAACTTTGAATGGTATTATGTCCTGACTTAAAAAAAAGACTTTTAAGACAAGTTTTAAGACTGAAAGGAATGTCATAGGAGCATAATATCATAAGTGGGCAGTACTTTCTGGAGACATTGCCATCTTTGCATCTTGTTTTATGTTACATAATGGTATTTGTGTTTTGTAACTCAAAGCCCAGCATTGAAACAGTGTGCAAAAGAGTAAAAGACTCAGAGTGCCAAAAAAAGACTACTAATCAGTGTTGTATTGAAAACTAAGCTGAAATAGATATAAATTAAAGCTATATATATATATATATACAGTATATATATATAACTAATATCAAAATGAAAACTAATAATACAAATCTAATTCAAAATATGAATAAATGCTTTAATATTTGAATGCTGAATTCTGGCACATGCTGAATTTGTAATGCATATGTCATGCCACATAGTGCTTACAATTTCATATAAATGTATAACGTGCATATTGCAACTACAAGGTACACAAACTCTGTCCAAATACTAATTAAATGACTAATGTGCCAAATAAAAGGTCAAGACGTGTATAATTACTATGACATATTTAAAAACCATATTGCATACCTCCTGTCACACTTTAAGGTCCAATTATCATTATTAACTAACTATTAACCATGACTTTTGCCTCAATAAACTCCTAATTTGCTGCTTGTTAATAGTTAGTAAGGTAGTTGTTAAGTTTAGGTATTTAAAATATGCTCATGCAGAATAAGACATTAATATGTGCTTTATAAGTACTAATAAACAGCCAATACGCCAGTCATATGCATGCTATATAGTGAGAATTGGTCCTTAAATTAAAGTGTTACCAAGAATTTTAACCCGTACTTTGCTGAATCACTCAATAAAAGAGAACTTGCTACATTATTTTATGTTTCTACACTTGTTCTATATGTTTGTCTGCAGTTAGTTTTGCAGATTTAACAAGTGTGATATATGGTATAGTTAATAGTTAAGATCATTTTCATTCATACAATTATAATTCACCATGATTTTCTCTATTGCTGTTATTGATACGTGTGTGTGTTTGTGTATAATCACGCAGGTATTCTGAAGAGTACATGTTACATAGATGTGCGCTGGTTCCCGTTCGATATACAGAAATGTGACCTCAAGTTTGGCTCCTGGACTCATAACGGCTGGCTGCTGGACCTGCAGATGCAGGCAGTGGACATCTCCACATACATCCCCAATGGAGAATGGGATTTAGTGGGTAAGAGTGCCTGGCATTGCCATTGAGATGATAACAGAGAGCTTTCTCCAGGTGGAGCTCAGTGATCTTGTAATGTTGCGGGAACTGGAGAAAACAAGCAGAGGCGAGGATCTATGTGCAGGTAGTTTAATAAAGTGACAAAAAAACAAGAAACACTGAAAACATAGAACAAAATACAGGCAGAATGGCAACTGTATCTTTCAACAACTGGCAAAGCACAAGAGAAACACAAGGGCTATATATACACAGGAGAACAAAAGGACCAATGAGTAACCATGGCAGCAAACAAGGAAGGGGGTGTGGTCAATTGATTACTATTACAACTAACAGAGGTAACCAAAGAGACAAACCAGGCAGCACAGCACTGGCAAAGCACACACTGAGAACATGTAACAGATCTCTGACGAACGTTTGAGTTAGATTTTAATTTAATATTTTTTGTTTTCATTTTAATTTTAGTTTTTGTAATTTTGTTGTACTGTATGTTTTTGTCATTTCATAATTTTTTTTTTTAGATATCCTTTTTATTCTGTTTTTGTTTTACTTTATTTAGTTTTAGTTATTTCAACTTAAACTAAATCAAAATGAGAAATGTCTTTATATATTTTACTTTATTTCAGTTAATGTTTATTTTATTTCAAGTAATGAAAATGTTTTCTGGTTTTAGTTTCCGGTGGAGTTTACGAGAGTGAGCATTTTGTGAGGAACCAAATCCATTTTTATGAAAGCATCGAGTACAAACACCCGTGACTCGCACAGTCTTTAGTTAATGCTATAGATCTGTTTGCTTTTCACACATTTGGGGGTTTCGAGCGTCAGTAATGTATTATTGTGTGCTGGTCATGTGTTTTCTCTTTGCCTGGAGGGAAACTATTGATAATTTCTCCCCCGCATCTACTTCATGGAAAAGTGTGAAAGCGTTGTTGGCTCATCTGAATGCTGTGGTGATAATTTCGTCCTCCCTGCTGGACTGTAGGGAACACAGATTTAACACACGGTACAGAAGGTCTATGAAAGACACTCTACCTTTTTATGTCCATTCTCAGGTGGAGAATAAAAAGAAAGTGTCTTGACTCTCATATTCTCACGAGAGCATTTCTTCTGTTGTTTTCATGGATTAAGACATGAAATGCGCATACAGAATTGTAACATCCTGTCAATCACAACAAAGTATGATTAGCAACTTTTCTATGCAATTTTATTTCTTTGTAACATGTGGAAGCCTGCTTCCGCCACTGACTTTTTTTCTCAGAATTACAAGTTATAAACTCACAATTGCAAGTTAACAATTGCAAATAGCAAGATAAAAACTTATAAATAAATAATAAAAACTTTAAATAATAATAAACTTTAAAAATAAATTTGCACTTCTGACTTTTTTTTCTCGCAGTTGCCAGTTTCTATCTCGCAATTCTGACTTCGTTTTTCAGATCTGTGAGATATTAGCTCACAATGCAAGTTATAAAGTCCAATTCTGAGGGAAAAAAGAGTTTATGACTCGCAATTCTGATTTATTTCTCAGAATTGTGTTTATATCATGCGATTCTGACTTTATCACGCAATTGCACGCAACTTATATCATGCAATTCTGAGAAAAAAACTTAGAATTGTGAGATAAAAAGTAGCAATTAACATTTTTATTCCATATTTAGTGGTGGAAACGTCCATAGTTACAGGATTAATTAAATAACATTGTTAATGTGTTAAATTCTTGTAATCGTGCAACACCGTAGGATGTTTTGCACTAATATTAGAAATATTAATATTAGAGATGAATGTTTATGTGGCACAGTTTTTCTAATCTCATAATCTGATCACGTTTGGCTTTTTAATCTCTCTGTTTCTGTCTCAGTCTCTCATTTTTCGCTTTCAATGCCAGTGTGACCCAGGGTTTGTTCGACAGATGGGGTCCTGATGGTAGTTGGCAGTGCTTTGGCACTGATTCTGGTCGGCACCAATGGCCAGTTGCGTGCCAAGGTTGTGCAGTGACATAGGCAGTCTGTGAACGGGCATCTTTAACACCGCAGGGAGTCACACGCTGCACACACACAGCCGAAACCAACTGCTCAGCCTGTTGCAAAAAAGTGTAAATGGCTATTGCTACAAATATACCCCAGCGACTTAAGACTGGTTTTGTGCTCCAGGGTCACATATGATGTGTAACAAGAATCTTTACATATGTGCTATTAGATTGTTTTTCCTGTATTTAATCTCACAACTTTGCATAACTATGATTGCAAATCCCTCCCCCATCAAACGCACACAAACCACATCACTCAGGTATGTCTTCTGTAATCAGTTAAATGACTCAAACCAGCAATTTGCTTTGATGTGATTGTCTCTGAGTGCCAGCGTGAAATCCTGATGAAAGCTCTTCCTCCGCCTGCCTAGATTGATTAATTACAATTTTGATTTCATTTTTAATCAATTGGAGAGGAGGGCTGTCTGACCCTGACAGATCAAGACTGTCTCATTTGCAACATGTCATGTCGTTGTTTCCCTTTACTCTTGCAACTGGTAGAAATAATGTTTATTTCATGCATTTTGGAGTTTGGGTTGTGTTATATTATAGACAACATCACTGGGATTCATGTCATTAAAACTTGGGTTGGGCTTGTTTGACTATGAAGCACAGAATTATTGAATTGCATGCGTACTTTAGAGAGCACCGTAGGATTAAGCGGATTGCATTGCAAAAATTAGGAAAATGGAAAGTAAATATTAGTCTTGTGCACGCACAGATCAAGGACAAGACACAGGGAACAAATAAAGCGCTTGCTTTATATTCAACAAAGTTTTGGAGGTTATGCACTTTAAAGGTCATGAAGATCCTGTCTGTGATTTGGTCCTGTCACAAATACGCCCGTCTTGGCTGACAGCCTTTGTTTTCAGAAAGGTCTTCATCTCAGTTCTGTTGTGGAAGGGTCACTTTGAAGTCCTGCCTTAGCTTTTACCTTAAACCACTCTGCTGGCTCTTTTGACAAAGAGAGCATATAAAAATATACAAAAGGATCTGAAACTTAACAAAAGGAAGTTTTCTCTCACACACACACACACACACACACACATTGATCATTGACCTCGGTATTTTAAATAAATATTATATTAGCTGTTTAGATTTGTATTCATGTTATATCAGTTTTTTTTAACCCTGTAACCAAAATATGAGACATTTAAATACTGTTTAAAACCATGATTTTGAATCTATGAAATGCATTTTATATAAAATAATCTAAATTCAATAGACAAAATGTATTTACATTTATTTAAAATCTAAAAAAAGTGAGCTAATAAGTTGCAAAATTCAGGGAAAATTTAAGGAAAGAGGGAAAATTGAGGAAAAAGCCAGATAATTATAGCTTAGTGTCTCACAATGAAAAAAAATTCTCATAATAACTTAACATCTCTTGATAAACTTTCTCACACTGATGACTTATTTTCTCATTATTATAAGGCGTTTAGTCATTATTACAAGAAAGTTTCTAATTTTATTGAGATGTTTTCACAAAATAATGACTTATTTTCTTGTTATATTAGTCAACATTACAAGAAAGCTTCTCATAATTATGAGGTGTTTAGTCATTACTAGAAAGTTTCTCATTATAAGATGTTAAATCATTATACTGAGATAGTTTCTCATTATTATGAGATGTTATGTCATTATTAAGAAAAAAATCTCATTGTTACAGCTTACAGAATCATATCAAATGAGGCAGAACCTGGCTTTCCTGGCTAAGTCTGAGACCACAGATATAGTATGTATATACATAGTATGCATTGCAGTATGTAAGACAATATCTAATAGTTCTAAAAACAAAAAACATGGGATTTATGCCTGTAGTGCTTCTTAAAAAGTATACTGTATTTGTGGAAAACACCTGCTGCTGTATGAAATAAATCTGAATGTGTTCCTTTGTGTTTTGTCAGGGGTCCCTGGGAAGCGTAATGAGTTGTATTACGAGTGCTGTAAGGAGCCGTACCCTGACGTGACTTTTACAGTAACGATGCGCAGGCGAACCTTGTATTATGGTCTGAACCTGCTCATTCCCTGTGTGCTCATCTCTGGCCTGGCTCTGCTCGTCTTCCTGCTTCCAGCAGATTCTGGAGAGAAGATATCACTGGGTAAGAACCATAAAGCTTTCTCTTTTTTATCACAATGTTTATGTAAGGTTTATGCACAATTATGCATGAGGGAATAACATTAGTTTTCCACTTTCCCGTCTGTCAGGTATCACTGTCCTCTTGTCATTAACGGTCTTCATGCTGCTAGTGGCTGAGATCATGCCGGCCACCTCTGACTCAGTTCCTCTCATAGGTAAGTCCAAATCGCTGGATTTTCATATTATATACTCAATCACATGAAGAACATTTTGGCCGTTGATGATGTCTTAGTAGATCTTGCAGGTTTAAATGCTTGTGTCTTCTTTGGCTCGGTAGCTCAGTACTTTGCCAGCACCATGATGATTGTGGGTTTGTCGGTTGTTGTCACCGTCCTCATTCTGCAGTTTCATCATCATGATCCACAAGGTGGAAAGATGCCAAGATGGGTGAGTGAAAACTCTAAGCAGATTGTTTAATATTAAGATGAAAAAAAAGATCATGCAGGACTATGCAGAACAGGGTTATTATTGTTAACTAAAACGAAAACCATAAAAACATTTTCATTGCTTGAAATAAAATAAACATTAACTGAAATATTTCTGCTAGTTGCCAAGGCAACATTTCTCATTTTTGTACTAAAATAACAAATTAAACAGACGCAACAGATTCACACAGAAACATGTGCCTCATTGCCAGTAGATGTGCAACATGTGTTCTAAAAAGACCTCAACATATCAAACATGTTTGATATCCTCTGACTGGATGCAATCACAGGCTAAAGACACTGCACGATTTTCTGTAAAATTGGTCAACTCCAACTGCACAAAACTGACTTTGACTTTCGGCAACTAGCGTCAGCTTCTCCAAACTGCAAATTGGGGAGAAAATTTGTAGCTTCCAAAAGGGCGTTTTCGCAATGATGCCGGATAAGAACAATTTGGGGTTCCCCAAAGAACCTTTCAGTGAAAATTTCATAAAGTGCCAGTGCCCCTATTATTATGCAATTTCCAATATTGCCTTTGATGCAGTGTGTAATTTAGCTGTATGTGAATGTAAACGATCTGCAAAGTTGTAAAGCCGAAAGTGCACGATAAATAAAGTTAGTCTCCCAAAAGAAAGAATCGACTCTGAACAGCTTAAACGAGTCGTCAGTAATTTGAGTCTCACTTCTGTTTATATTTCTGACATGCGCTGTACGTGGTAGACCAATCATAACAGACTGGGCCATCTGACCAATCAGAGCAGAGTAGGCTCACGGAAAGGAGGGGTTTAGAGAGACTGAATCTTAGAACTGCTTCGAACGAATCGTTTGAGAATCGCTGGAAAATGAGGTGATATTAAATGCATATTTTAAGAAAACTAAAGCGTTTTTTGACCTTGCATGCATGTGATCCTATTGTAGGACACTCCTAAAACAATATTAGGAACATTAAAAATGACATAATAGGGGCACTTAAAAAAATCTTAGTGTGAAGAACCTTTTTTCCACTATAAAGAACCTTTTGTGCAATGGAAAGTTTCCATGGATGTTAAAGAATCTACATGCAACCAAAGGTGCCAATAAAGGGCCTTCATTTTTAAGAGTGTAAGTTCATGAAATCACTTCACATCATTGCACACTGTTACTGCAATACTTTTTTAAGCTATCAGGAATTGTGTAATCTTTAACTTAAAATACTGCTTTCCATTCAAACAACCAGTGCTGAATCCACAAAAACCCAACTACAATAAAAATCCACTAAAATAAAATCGCTTCTGACAAAAATCTGAGAAAACCTCCTGAACCCTGAATTTGAGAAATGTAGGTGAGTTGTAGAATGACTTGGCATCATGGAGAGGTAATGAGGTCTATTTGTATTAAAGTTTAATGTCTCCTCTGCTACTCTTATGAGAAGAAAAGAGCTCTTAGCTACAGCTGGCTGGTGTTTCTTATTTGGTTGATGTCCAGTGGGACGCATCTGCCGCTTGAAGCAGGTCTGAATATTTAAACACAAGAAACCTTTAGTGGACACTTTCTCCCATAATCTAATGAAATACACAGACTTCATACAGCATATCAGCATTATAAAGACAGGAATGCCTCATGCACCCATCTGAGGGCTTCATCTTTTAGCAGATTCTTCCTGCTCTTCTTAGGTACGTGTGATCCTGCTCAACTGGTGCGCCTGGTTCTTGCGCATGAAGAAGCCGAAATACAAACATGAAGTCAATTGTGAGGTAATTTTAATATTAAGTTTAAAATATGAAATAAAGTCACAGTTGTGAGATTTAAAGCTACAATTACCCTTTTATTTATTTATTTTAATAGTGTAACTATTTAAACTTTACACAAAACAAAGTTTTGAACTTCAAGAAGAACTAAGATGAAGTCATAAAGTAACCTGTAGTGGACAGAGTTCCAGCGCGAGCGGAGGTCTTGTACAGTAGAAGCTGGGCTCAGGAACATAGTTTTGCTGAGGTTCGAAATGCACCACAGGCAGCATGGGGTTCATCACTCTCGACAGCACGTCTTCAATAACCATGTTTGTGTCATCCCAGCGACAAGCATCCATGAACATCCCATGAACCAATACACCATCCTCCATGGTGGGAAGCTATAAAGCAGACCACAAAGTATTGATTTCATACGATGTCAGTCACTTTCACTTTCTTTTGAACTTTCTATTCATCAAAGGACCCTGAAGAAAATGTCTCACCAACTGTTTCTTGAGCAGTAAATCAGTGTATTAGAATGATTTCTGAAGGATCTTGTGACACTAATGACTGGAGTAATGGTGCTAAAAAAATGAAGCTTTGATCACAGGAATTGCTGTATTTTTGATCAAATAAATGCAGCCTGGGGGAGCATAATATGGTCATGAAAAACTAAATTATGACTGTTATTCATGCTAAAAAAATGTGTGTGTGTGTGTGTGTGTGTGTGTGTGTGAGTGTGAGAGTGAGTGAGTGAGTGTTAAACCAGATACTATTTTAATGCCTTAGTCAGGAATAATATAGTCAAGATTTAGATGCATCAAAATATATGAAATTTTAAATAAGCAAGCTTTTAAAATTTAAAGTTTTTTAAATATGTTTAAACAGATTTTGTGAGACTGTAGTTGGTGGCCCTTCTAGCTTGTTCCGGGGACATGCACCCTTGTAAGACAATTTTGTACATTTTAAAGTTAAATGCATCAATCTGGTGTCTGTCAGACATTTTCCAGTGCCCAAAATGAACAAAGTAAAAAAAAAAGTTAGTACACTGACATGTACCTGCACTTAAAAGTGTACTCAATGTCTCAGAACACTCACACTGTAAGAAGCCAAATAATTTGAATATATAATAATAATAATAACAACAACGTTGTTGTTGTATCATTATTAAACTAATTAAAATCACAGCACATACAGAGATAGATTTCCAGCATTTACTGCATTAACCTTTTACATTAACTTTTGTGATATGATAATTGTACTAAGCCATATGCAATTTTGATTTTAGTCTGACAAATGTGTTGCCAAAGCAACTTGCAAAACACAGCAGTATGTTTCGTAAGCATCGCTGATCCCAGGCATCAGTCACCCTGCCTCCATACGTAATCTCACCTACCGAGACAATAAAACACACACACACACACACTTAAACACATTCTGTTTTATTCCATGACTGACCGATACCTTGCCAAGAATTAATGAGACAGTTTGACATTGTGTGAAGCTTCCTTAAAAAGTCTTTCCCAAAGCCACTCATAACAACATTACTGGAACATTTTTATAGTACACGCCACCAGCTGCACCAAATTTAATAATAATAATTTTCACCAGCTGATGATCTGTAAAATGATGCCTACTTAGATGCATTCCTAACAATGAATAAACATTTTGTAAATTTTAGTGAAATAGTCCAAAGGTTTTTTTGAGAAATTTCAAAAATACCACATTAATATTCAGACTTGATTTCTTTATGAATAAAGTACTTTATTCATACTTTATAATGCATTTATTTCATAGGCAAAATCATAGAGAAACACATACAGTACAATACAGGTACACACTAAACACTAGCCACCGTCACCACTGACTGAGAGAAACCTGTGAAATTGTAGATCAATGGCTGATGATATAAATAATTTGGCAATAAACACACACATACCTGTGATATATATAAGAGCATCCCAGGGTATATGTCCTGTCTGGCAGTAGAGGTTTAGGTTGAGAACGGATGTTCCAGCACAGAGGACCAAATTTCTTCCTCTCCTATACACACATAAATTGTGCATTTTTGGCCAATTTTTCAAACTAGAATAATGTATAATTTTTTTTAATTATTCCTGTATCAAATAATGCTGTTCTTTTGAATTTTCTACTCATCAGAGAATACTAGAAAAAAATAAACATCCTCTCATGGTTTACACAAAACTGTTGCACAACCATTTTTAACATTGATCTTAGAATCAGGATATCAGAATGATTTCTGAAGGATCATGTGACACTGAAGACTGAAATAATAATATTACCACTAAATAAGTGGTTTGCAGCTGTAGTTTCTTACATAAAATCATAGACAAATAAGACATAAAGAAAAACTAATTTAAAATTAACCTGAAACAAATTTACAATACAGTATAAGCTGCACACAAGCAAAGCTTCCATCCAATTGTTTTTATTTAAATTTTATTTTATTTGTTCCACACCAGTCCTGCTTTTATTTTATTGCAAGAAAAACATAAAGCTTCCCATAAGGCTTCTAAACTTTATAACCTCTATAGGCTTCAAATTGAATAGACCCATCTTTGACTACACACTGATTTTTCAACCCTTGAGCCCTGACCTGAATGATGGCGTGGAAGAAACACACTCCAAACATGATCTTCCTCCATTTCCTGCCAAGGATGTGTTCCTCAAAGAACGTACTGCTGATCTCTGTAAAGGCGCTTCTCACATTGGCACGGAGACCCTTCGGGGGCTCGTTAGTAACCTACCATCACAATAACAAAGGCTCATTAGTTCCCTGGCAACACAGGCATATTAACAACAAAACAAAACAAAAATAAAGCCAAAGACAAAATAGAACTGCTAAAATTCATAAACTAAGTTACAAATTAAACAGTCTAGCTGCTTAAAGACATCCATGTCTTTGTTTAAGGCTTTATAAACTACTATTGGTTCCAATGATTTGGTAAAGCTGGGGTTTAATTGATAGGGACGTGAGCACAGGGGTGTTAATGTATTAGGTAGAGAGAGAATAAAATATGAAAGCTTGTGAAGTGTTATCTTCTTCTTGCAGGAGTGTGTGTTAGTGTGACTAAAATTTTTATTTGATACACATGCACACATATCGCAGTGCTAGAAGGATGAATGACGTGTAACGGTAAAAATATGTGCATGTCATCAGCATATGGATGCCATCAACGCAGGAAGCTTCGCTCTACATTGATGTATGTTTTCCTCTCCGAAAGATAAAAAATGAGATAGAGGCATGTGAATGCTTTCCTGAAAAATCAGTGCTTGTTTGTGAGCGCTCATAGAACTTTATGACTATCAGTTCCTATAGCTTTTACGTGTGTATGTACTTAAGCAAGTGCATGTTCTTGTGTTACCTTGACAGAGTTTTGCAATACAGTGACAGGAAACACATTGGTAGGCATGGAGCTAAGGAACAGTCTGAAGTCCTCATGGATAACAGTGTCTGCAAAGGCCATACAAGAAGATGACAACAGAAAACAGGACAACAAAATAGCTTTACAATGGATTCACATGTGCAACACACAATCTGTAATATAAGGTAGAAGCAGGTGCAAAACAGGTGAGTCTGTTTAAAAACTGAACAATAATATTTTCACTGAACCATATAAACACGCACACGGACACAAATATAAACATACAAAAACAGTTTTCAAGAATCTAGTCATTCATTTGACATGTTTATTTGGCAGATCATGCTAATCTAACAGTGTCGGCTCCAGTGACAAGGTTCTGGAGAAATTATAATGACCATATATCAAGTCTGTAAATATAATATCCATAAAGATTTGATGGATTCTTTAAGCAGGGGTTTCATCCTTTTTCAGCCCTGCTTATTTTTAACATTTAGGCTACTTAATACATTTTAATCCAGGAGAGACAGTCAGTAAGATATATATTTTAAAGAAATTAAAATTTGTATTTAGCAAGGATTCATTAAATTGATCAAAAGTGGTTTTTAAGCATGTCCACTATTTTGAATAAATGCTGTTCTTTTTCTTGAATTTTGGGGAAAAAAAATTATCGTGTTTAAATATTTTCAAGAAGAAGAAGAAACAGAAGAAGAAAAGGTTTCTTGAGCACCAAATCAGCATATTGGAATGATTTTTGAAGGATCTTGATATTAAACAATGAATGACTCGCTTGGGGTTGTAGGTGTCCCTGCTGAAGACCACACACACACACACACACAGGTTCAGTGAAGGTTTTGATGAGCTCCTCCATTGCCAGCATCCAGGACACAGCAAGGTGACAGTTTTGCAGGAAGATCCAGTTGCCAGTCTTTAGAGCTTCCATAATCATTCTCTCCGCAATAGGCCCTGACCCTGACCCAGCGAGATTGATTTCACCCTGCAATACAAGAAAACCACAATAACTTATTTGTCATGTTTATATTGTAGGTACTGCATTTGCCAAAGTTTGTCAGGTCAATTATTGTTACTACAATTATTTCAAATTACACCCAAGCCTAAACGACACATCAACACAAACAAACAAACAATAAATAAATAAATAAAAATGCTTTACGTGCCAGTCTAAGGGTCTTTTTCTATTTAAAGAATAGTTCTTGGCTATCCAAAACTAGTACAAGTCCTTGACAGTAGGTGAACATTTTGAAAATGTGTTTCTTGTGGCTTTGTTGGAATATGACTAATGAATCACCTGTTCTCATAGTTGGCATGCAGAAGCGACCGATAGTAGCATCCAGGCTCAGGTTTACGATTTATTGCAAGACTGAAAGTAATGGGAGTACATGAAATTGGCAGCAGTGTGAGCTAGAAACAGTGTCTTGAATTTAATTCTATCATATTCTGGCAGCCAGAAAACGATCTGAGCAGAGACGTGACATGAAAAGATTACAGAGGGTTAAAAACCATTTGAGCGAAAGGATTTTGGAGCCAGTTTAGCAATATGGCAGATGTATAGCAGATGCTGGTTGGCAAACAAGAATAGAATTCCAGACAACCTGGCCGAGAAAATGATTAAAGTAGTGGTCGAGTAAGGCTGCTGCTATCATAATGTGATCCTTAAAGAAGAGCGTGTCACCCAGGATGACACCAAGTGGTGATACACACCAGGAGGCAATGACTATGTGACCTCTGAATGAGACAGAGAGAGATTTGTTGAGGGATGTCATGG